GCGTGGGTCCCAAGCGATTCGCACACTCTTAGACCCATCATAGTCGAGCTAGTTGTCCGTAGTGACATCCAGAGGTTGTTAGCAAATTCCGAGTGTCCTGAGAGGCATGATGATCATCATCATCATAGTATGCGCGTCCGTACTCCTCATCATAAATGGAGAAGTATTTGGATGTATATGAACACACAAAATGCACGAGATCTCTATTGTTTTGTTCTTTAAATCATCCTTGTGACACAACCCTATATTCACACATTACTTTAAGTAACATGCATTTATTGGCCTTCATATATTTATCATCATTAACATTAACTATGGTTGTGTCTTTAAAAACTCGTCTTCATAATGCATTGTGACATTTAATACATGTACATCATCTTAATATGGAACATCGTAATATTAAGTCATTTCATCATCACATTTCTCACACCATCTTGTTATCATGCACCATCATCATCATGTCAAGATCATGTACATCATCACACCATCATCATCATGTCAACGTCATGTACATAATCACATCATCATATAACATCATCATATAACGTCATCACATCATCGTATAATGTCATCACATCATCAAATAATGTTATCACATCATCATATAACGTAATTGCGTCACATCATCATATAACATAAAGCACAAATGGCACGTGCAAGGGCCACTGGACATGTGTCATCATACATAAGATAAGTCTTCTGACCAAGTTGATGGTCAGACCACTTACTTGATTGACCTTAGCCAAAGTTCTATTAAGCTCCAAATTTGCTCGCTTACATCCTTTGAATTTCTCCGAATATTGTTTGTTATAATATTATTTTCATACAAACTATTTAAAAACTTCCCAGATTTTTCCTTTTCTTCCTCTTTCTTTTTTAAATTCTGATAACCCGTAGTTTGACCAATTTTAATGGATTCTTACTTTCTTTTCTTTCCTAAACAAATGGCTATGTCTATGTATCATGACGATTTCCTACAACAAGTAAATGGTTCTTAGTATTTAATTTGTAACTAAAAACTAAATAAAGGAAAGAAATGAGAATCGAGATAAATGAAAAGAAGATCTAACTAATCTACACGAGGTTGAGGTATTTGTGAGGTATTTGTGAGGTATTCTAGGGAAGGGTGGTGAGAGACTAGTGGAGAGATGGAAATCAGTTTTTTTAGGGTCGTTACATCATATGCCTCTACAAAATGTTTAATCTCGGAATAACTCAAATTCTCCTTCTAAGAGTTGCCTAATGAAAAATTCTTAATCAGCATACCCTAATCCATACGAGTCATAAACATTTTTTTGCATACATAAATCTTTCAAAGTTTTTCCTAATTCTGTAATATATTTCATACTTATTCTTAGTATTGTAAATGAGTCTCATAAATTTTAGCAATATTTTGAGTTTTTAAGGTCTTGAAAACATCTTAGAATTATCATATGGGTACTCTGATCCTTTCTTACCTCAAATTTTGATTTAAATCCTTAACATATTACAATGGCCTTGTAACTTTATATAATCCATTTAACTATGATATAAGACTCCTCATCAAATTTCATGCCATTTAGAGGTCACTTTGGTCATAAGCTAGTGGAACATAATTATAGGGGCATTTTACCTACTCTTGGTTTAGCCCTTTTATCATAGTCTAATGATCACCAAATTCCATACATAACCTTATAATGTCATATTGAGACTTATTCTAAAATTTCATGAGCAACAAAATTCATTTAGTAGATTTGCTCAGGCTCTTGATTGAAATCAATATTCATATAAATAATGAATAGAAAGGTTAGAAAACCTTCCAAACCTTAATTTCAACTTTAACTTTTTTTCACCCTGACTTGTTTACTTCCCTTGATTACATTAATAATTTAACCAACTTTATGCATTATATTGTCTTTTGAGTCAAATTTTCTAAAATTTGCTAAAGGTTTACTCATTGACCTGTTCATACATCTTCGAGATCTCCTTTTAACAATTTTCCTATAACTATACTAAAAAGGCACTATAAATTTTTTCATACAGATACTTAAATTTCATATTCACATATTTCATAGTGACGAAATTTTCTTTCAACACTATCAACTTATCTATAGCATACTATAAGATATTGTCGTCTATCAAGCTTCCTTGGTTGTTTTCATTTGAAACTACTTACTCCTTAGTATAAGTTGGTACACTCCTTTCTATCTTTATGGTCATAATATTGCGTGTAAAGGATATTTAGTACTAAATTATAGTTTACCTTATATATCATATTTGATATTTTATTAGAAGGCAAATATCTAAATATTTGTCTTCTTACCATAGGTATTTTTCCATGTATTGCTACTTCCCTTTATTATTCTTTTTATATCCTTGTAATTTATTTGATTATATATAGATAACTTTCACATCATTTAGGTGTGGTGGATAATGCAAACATCTTCATGGTATCAGAGCCCTTTTGGTTTAGCAACCCTGATGCTTTCTTTTCAATGTCTTCTGAATCTTCTACTATTCTTTTCCACCACCACTGCTGGCTTTGACGCCGCAGAGGCAGTCGCTATGGCTGCCGCAGGTGGAGCCGATTGATTACTCTTCAGCTCCACCCTATTGACCTTCAAATCACCTTTCGTCATACTCTTGTACATACAATCTCACCTTTACCAACCCAATCGGTTTTCCCTTAACCAATATAGCCTCTTTCATTTTCTTCCCAATCTCCCCTTCAACGTTCACAAAAACCCTCTCATAATCCTCATCAGCATTCTCATAAAAAATATACAGAATCTTGAGAAGGCTATCGATCTTCTACAGAGATTTAGCTTTGAAATCTAAGTGCCGCACGTACCTCTTTGCCAACCAAGTCGCCGCCTCCCTTCGCCAAAATTGGCTTCTTCGCCCACTATGGCAACTCTTCCGGCTTCAACATTGTCTTTGTCCCTTACTCTAGGTTTCCCCCTTCTACTTCTTGGGTTAGAAATATTATCACCGGAGACAAGGCAACATCGTCGCTGAGCGACGATCCCTCTTCATGATTCTCGTCGGAGCCAAGGCAGCATCGCCGCTAAGCGACGATCCCTCTACAATTTTCGATGGCCAAGAAAGTGTTTCTCAACCTTTTTTGAATTTTTCAGATCCAAGCTTCACGTTCATTCAAATTCGACACTCAGCGTGTAGGGGGTGTTAAGGATATTTAGTATTAAATTATAGTTTACCATATATATCATATTTGATATTTTATTATAAGGCAAATATCTAGATATTTGCCTTCTTACCGTAGGTATCTTTCCATATATTGTTTTTTCTATTTATTAGTATTTCTATATCCTTGTAATTTATTTGATTATAAATAATGAACTTTCACACACCATTTAGGTGTGGTGGATTAAGCAAACATTCTCATGGTATCAGAGATTTTTCGAGCAACCCCGATCCTTTCTTATGAGAATGTTTGCATAATCCACCACACCTAAATAGTGTGAAAATTTTATATTTATAATCAAATAAATTACAAGGATATGGAAAGAGTAATAAATGAAAATAACAATAAATGGAAAGATACCTACTATGGTTAAAAGACAAATATCTAGATATTTGCCTTATAATAAAATATCAAATATGATATATACAGTAAACTATAATTTAGTACCAAATATCTAGACTTATTCTAAATATCCTGGTCTAGAAGAGGCATAGAGAAACACTTTCTTCCCCATCGAAAACTGTAGAGGGATCGACGCTTAGCGGCGATGCTGCCTTGGCTTCAGCGAGAATATGTCTAACCCACGAAGAGGGATCGTCGCTCAGCGATGATTCTGCCTTGGTTCCAGCGAGAATATGTCTAACCCAAGAAGTAGAAGGGGGAAACCTAGAGCAAGGGACAAAGACAATGTTGAAGCCGGAAGAGTCGTCACATTGGGCGAAGGGGCCAATTTTGGCAACAAAGGAGGCGGTGACTTGGTTGGCGAAGAGGCCAGTGTGGCGCCTAGGTTCCAAAGGTAAATCTCTGTAGAAGGTCAATAGGTTTAGGTTAGAGTTTCTGTGAAGGATGAAGGGAAGATTGGGAAGAAAATGAAAGAGACTATGTTGGTTGAGGGAAAATCGATTGTGTTGGAAAAGGTGAGGTTGTATGTACAGAGTATGGCAAATGGTGATTTGGAGGTCAATAGGGTGGAGCTGAAAAGTAATCAATCGGCTCCTCCTGACGACTGCCCTTGCAGTGTCAAAACAGCAGTGGTAGTGGAAAAGAATAGTAGATGATTCAAAATCCATTGAAAAGAAAGGATCGGAGTTGCTAACCCGAAAAATCTCTAATACCATGAGAATGTTTGCTTAATCCACCACACCTAAATGTTGTGTAAAAGTTCACTATTTATAATCAAATAAATTACAAGGATATGGAAATAGTAATAGATGGAAAGAATAATATATTGGAAAGATACCTATAGTAAGAATGAAAATATCTCGATATTTTCCTTGTAATAAAATATCAAATATAATATAATAGTAAACTATAATTTAATACTAAATATCCTTTACATTGTGCATTTTAACTATGTTCGAGATGTCTAATTAAAACATCTGGCCTTCCTTAACAAAATCATTTTTATGAGTTCAAGGCTAAGGAATGGAATGGTTTTTATCAAATGATAAGTCTCTCACGGCTTGCGTATGCATTTCTTAATCCTAATAATAAGGTCACTTAAGGAGTGTTTTTAACGCATTAGTCTTATTTTTTTAAGTAAGGGTAAAGCGCCCCTGCACCATTTACGACTATGCAATGACGTTTAGGAAACTAAGTTAGGGTAGTTATATGCATGTGTTTTCAATGCAATTACATCTCTTTTGTTTTATCAAAGTTTGTGTTCATTTAGTTTTAGATAACTCGTGACTAATAATTAATCACTCACTCTTTCTTTGTCTCTTAAATCTCACTCAATACGTTGTAGGATAACATAAATGCTGCAATTTCCCAACAACGCCCACCACTTACTTCACTTACCTTGTGAAACACGGCCATGGAGGAGCCAGTGGTTTCCCCCTCTTCCTCCTCTCTCCACCATCGCCTCCAATTCCTCCTCCACACACCGCCACTCCCCTGGGCCTACGCCATCTTCTGGCAGACCACCACCGACCACAGTGGTGCTGTTTTCCTCTCATGGAGCGAAGGCCACTTCCAGCCCTCCCCTAACTCCACTTCCTCCTCCTCCCCTGAAGACTCCCACAGCCCCCCTCTCCTCCCCGACGCCCCCCTCGACCTCGAGTGGTTCTACATGATGTCCTTAACCCAATCCTTCGCCTCCGCCCATGGCCTTCCTGGAAGATCCTTCTGCTCCGGCGCGGCTGTCTGGCTCACCGGCCCGGACGAGCTCGAGCGGTACGACTGCCAAAGAGCCAAGGAGGCCAAATCTCACGGCATCCAAACCCTCCTCTGCGTCCCAACCCCTTACGGCGTCCTCGAACTCGCATCCCAACAGATAATCCCCGAGGATTGGGGCTTAGTCCAACAGGTGAAATCCGTGTTGGAGTCGGACATACCCAATTTCAGAAACAGCAGCAGTCCACTTCCGTTGTTGGAGCAAGACGTCAATTGGAGGAGATTGGGTTCATGAGCGAAGCCCCGGGTAGGGGGAAATCGAGAAGAGCAGGGTCCGCAGGGGAATTGGAGCTGTCGGATTCCGACAGCCCAGTGGGGAAAGCGGCGGGAAAAAGAAGAGGGAGGAAACGAAACCACGTGGAAGCAGAACGGCAGAGGAGGGAGAAACTAAACAAGCGATTCTACGCGCTCCGGTCGGTAGTGCCGAACGTGATGGACAAGACGTCGTTGCTGTGGGACGCGGTGTGGTACATAAACGCACTAAAGGGGAAGGTGGAGGAGATGGAGTTGGAGTTGGAGGTGAGGAAGTTGAAGAAAGGGGGAGAGGAGGGGGTGGAGAAACAGAGCACCACGACGTCGGAGGAGGAGGAGGAACAGGGGAAGGGCAGCACTCTGTTCGACGTGGAGGTAAAAAGGATGGGAGGAGGGGACGCAATGGTGCGAGTTGAGTCCCATAATCAAAACTGCCCTTCCGCCACATTGATGGGAGCATTAAGAGATCTGGAAGTTCACATTCACCACGCCAACATCACCAATGTAAACGATTTGATGCTCCAACATGTTTTGATTAAGCTTCCCCATGCCTTCTCCACCGATGAAGCCTTCAAAGCATCTCTTTTATCTAAATTACACTAAATCCTTCTCCTTCCAATCATCCTATGCATATCTATCTATCTATCTCTTCGATTCTGCCTCATCCTTCTTACTCATTTTACACAGAAATAAGTTCTCTTCTTCTCTGTTTTTTTTCTTTTTTTTTACGAGTTTTATTCTTCTCTTATTAGCCATACTAAGCCTGGTTGATTACATATCTACATATCGAGTATTTTAAGAAATACTCGGTAAGTGACCTACTATTGGAGTGCAGGAGTGAAGGAATGTAGACACATGCAACTTATGATCTAGGAACCTATCATTTAAAAGTTATCATAGGGGTTGCTTTTAGTCTGGAAAAAAATTGGCTGTGTAGTACTTTCCTACACACAACCCACACGTGCGAGTGTGGATTTTCAGGCAGTTTGCACTCCTTGGACCTATCATAGTTAAGCTAACTGTATGTAGTGACATCCGGATGTTAGCAAACCCTTGAGTGTCATATTAGGCATGATCATCATCATCATCATAGTCTGCGCATTCGTACTCATCATCATCAATAGGAAGTATACTAATGTATATGTACACACAAAATGCATAAGGTCCCTATAATTTTCATCTTGAAATCATCTTTGTGACACAACCGTAGACACCGTTCATATATTACTCTAAACAACATGTAGGTGTTGGTTTTCATATGCTCATAATCATTAACTTCATTTAGAGTTGTGTCTTTAGAAAAATGAATCACGGTCATAATGCATCATGGCATTCAATACAAGCACGTCCTCTTGATATGGAAACATGTCATGCCTAATCCATCTCATCATCATACAATTTTACGTCATCATATTAACATACATCAACACTATTATGTCCTCATCATAACATCATACATCATCATCATTACTTCATCGTCATTATATCATTATCAAATAACGCTGCATAACATCACACATCATCATCATTACGTCATCGTCATTACATTATCATCAAATAATGTCATCATAATATCATACATCATTATTATTATATAGTCAGCGCATCACAACATATAAAGCATACATCATCACTGTAATGTCATCGTTATCACATCATCATCATATAACGTCATCATAATATCACACCTCGTTATTATAATTTAGCCAAAACACATCACAACATATAAATCATAAATGACATGTGCCAACACTACTAGGCACGTGTCATCATACATAAGACAAGCCTTCCGATCAAACCGATAATAAGACCACTTACTTGGTTGAATTCCGTCTCTCGAAGTTTCTCCATTTATCATTAGGAGTTGTTTCTTAATAGAATGTCCATTTTGTTTCGTTAGTAATACTAATTTCTCAACTCACTAACATAAATTGAGAAAATGGACCTTATATTGACCTTAATTGCCTTTATTAAGGCCATATTCAGTTCCGAGAGGGTACAAATATATAAGAATCTGTATCAAATAGTGAAAATAAATGGATTTCGCGCAACTAAAGAATGAAATAGGTGACTGGAATGAGACCTGTGGACATCTCTAAAGGGTGCATACGAGATAGGTTAATTTATGTTTAAAAAATATTTTGGACCAACTTGAAAGTTAGTGACATGAACCACTCGAATAATGTTCACAACTCAACCTGGATTTTTAAATTGGGGTGACATCTATTTTTTTTAACTTACTTTTTTTTTATGAAAAAAAAAATCTATTTGTCTATCATACACATTACCTTATCAACAAAAATTTCATAAAGTTTAAATATCAATCTTTCAGGAGTGATAACACATCATTGATATTGGTTATAAATATCGAATATTTTTAATATATATAATAATCTTAGGGTAGCATTAGGTTGGATTGTAATTCTTTCGGGTAGTTGGGTTGACTTAACCAAAAAAATGACAACTCACAAACCAATTCTAATTTTCAATTTTTCAAAAATTAAGTCTAATCTAAATTAAAAATAAAAAAATCTAACTCAACCTAACTTTTATGATTTGAATTGGGTAGTCTAAGTTTGTTGGATTCTCGAGTCAGATAGAACACCCGAACAATTTGGTTTACTATTATAAGCCCTACCTAGTATACCCTGCACATTATGTTGAGTTTATTTGCGTTATTTTCATTATTTATTTTAAAATTTATAAACGAATAATGAAGCAAGAGAGTATTGCCTACTTTTGAATAATTGAATAAAACTGAGTTAATATCATATTTTTTTTTTTTTTTTTGTATGAAAGATGCTTCAATTATTTGAGCTATTGAGTAAAATGATGTTAATTATACACCTAGATTTATAACAAGAGCCCGAAATTGATTATATACGTAATTCTATAACAAGGAATCCATTTGCTCTATGAACTTTGCTATAAGGTTTGAAAATACATTCAATATCTTCCTTTGTTTCATATTTTTTTCACTTTCTAAATCTCAAAATATAATATCAATCAAATTTAAAATCCACTATCTATTAAAATTATATAGTTTTACAACTCAATTAATTTAAACCATGATTTTTGTTTGATTCCATTTAAATCCAACCGTATTAGCATAAAAAGTTATTATGTTTTTTTTTCTAATTAAGAAGCGAAAAATAGAGAGAGAATTAGATGCAAACATGAGTTTTGTCGAGAAAGCATTCAAGTGTATATTTGTTGATATGATAACTAAAGAAAAGGGTGGAAGTGTTGCGATCCAACAAGTAGAAGATGCTATACAACGAGAGATGTAGTTTTTGATGAACCATTTTCATGGTGGTCCTCAAAGAAGAAAATCTTACCAAATTCAAACAATATCGAAGAAACTCTACAATAGAAGTTAGGGGAGCAAACTACACAGATTTAGTCAAATGCTGATGCAGCTAAAAGATCCAAGTGACATTGATGTTGACGAATAAGAAGTGTCTCGATCAAGTGAATCTGATGAAAAGGAAACAACACATCAATAGCTAAGTGATAAAAAAGAAACTAAAAGTCAAATCCTACTTATGCCAATACAGCTACTTATACCAATTCATGCATCTAATTTCATTCGAGGCTTAAGTGAATCATACTTACCTAGTTGTAGTGAGATATTTCCTTGAGCTAGGCTATAGAGAACTCACAACTCTCTATTTTTGACAAGTTTGCAGAACCTATAACCAACCTAAGATTTAAGTTAAGAATAGGGTGTTAGAACTTGTACGATTTTACGATGTTCAAGACAAGATGTTTTTAGTAGACTAAGTATCCTTGGACCATGAAATACAATCAAAGAACTAAACCTCGGTGCTCCCTGAATATGGTTAGCCTCAAGAGCTAATCTAGAAAGTTTTGATAAAGGAAGTCCAAATTATAAGCCATCAAGATGCGCTAAAGCACTTAGTTTACAACCACGACATTTAGGAACATCCATATAACTTACCGTGTCTATTAGTAGTCATGAACGATATCACTAGAAACAGAACACTTCTCATTTACTTCATTACATTATTAGTGCTTTGAGTGACTTAGATTAAACTTAATAGTGTCCCTACTTAATGATAGGTTCAGGAACCCTTACCATTGAGCTTGACCCATATTGATAAGATAAGATAGTATATCGAGGCTACCCTAGAATTAGTGTTACTATCGTGTGTGAAAATAATCAAGGGCCTTCTAAATAAGGTCATTCCGTAAACCCGTCCTAAGTGGGGACAAGGGACCACACAAGTAAACTCAATAGTTGTTTGGTACATGGGTAGCGCTCCTAGATTCAGTGTGACTTTTATGGTCATGTGAAAAAGTCATCAATTAACCTTACATATATAATGTTTAGATTTATGATGCCATAATTTTCTTTCATGGGATTCATTTGTGATGAGGTCTCGCCTCTAAGGTTCAAGATATTGATGATTCACTTCCTAAATATAATGTAAGTTAGAAATTAAGAAGGAAAAGTTTGTTTACCCCATAACTCAAATAAGCTGTCAAAGAGATCATTCGGCACCCGTATAGGTGAACAACTTCCAATCCTCAATTGTGTTTGTGACATGCTTGAGAATTACCTCAGGAACTTTAAAGCCTCTCAAAGCTTAGGAAGTTACCGAACTTAGACTTAAACTTCCTAGAGCCCAAATTAAAACCCGTGGTAGCTAATTAGGTCTTAATGTTAGTAGACCCTACAAGTAGGCTACTTACTAAGTATTTTTATACTTGTAATGATCTTGTTTTCTATTAGAAATATGGTCGCCAATGCATGTATGATATGACTATTACATGTGAAAACGTTCATTTGAAATATTTTATAAACGATGTCATGGAATTAGACGTTTGTAATAAAATCTTTAAAAACAACATAGCAGAAAATCAATAGAATGAAGTTTAAATAAAATAAAGTAAAAATAAAATAATGTCCTGATCTAACCTAAGGGCTACATGTAACATGAAAACATCTAACCTAACTTCAATCTCATGACTGCCACCACGACATTGTCACATGTGCAGAGACATCTTACCTTTACCTTTACCTTTACTTGAGTATTTTAAGAAATAATTCGTAAGTAACCTCACTATTGAGGTCAGAAAATACCATGTAATTATGTTTAGGACCTATCATTTCATAAAAATGTTTTATGGCTTTGAACTCTGCTTTCTAGTCGGGCTAAATTGGATGTACAGTACTTCTCTACACATGACCCACATGCACATGGACCCACCAGGTGAGCGTATACGTTTTTGGGCATGTCGTTTAACAAGCGCACGCTCACGCTGATGGAGCCACAGAGGGAAAGGAGTCCAGATAATATAATGGAGTACATAGATATCAAAATGTACATGTCCGTACTAACCCAACAGGGAAATATTGTGATGCACGTGACATACAAAAATGCATGAGATTCCTATAGCTTAAAATCATAGCGTAAGTTTATGATGCAAGTAAACCCTTCTTTCATTAATAACAAAATAGGCATGTGAATCATTCATACATAATTCTTGTCATATCTTTCGTACTTAACATAGCTTAGATGACATGGTGTATGGAGGTTTATGCATCATATCAACATCATAAACGTGGTTCCACAATA